ACTCTACTAATCCCACCAGCCCTTAGGGCGTGAGTGGTTTAGAGAGCCCGCTCTGTCCTCAACCCCACTTCTTCCCCTTCGGGGAGGGGTTTACCCCTCCCCCTACCCCCTCCCCCTGGACCTGGAGAGGGAGCCCCGAGCGTCGTCAGGGGAGTCTTTTTCGACGCCTGGGAGGGCCAAAAAACGACTACCCTCACGAGGATTCTGGCCCCGAGGGGGGGGAGGCAGTTTGGCGCCTCAGCTCGTCGTTGAAGCAAAAAACATTGATTTTACTAAGGTTTTGGCTCCATTTTGGCCTTCTGATGGGGGCCGCGCTCATCTTCCTTCATAGCCAAAACATTGATTTTACGAAGGTTTTGGGCTCATTTTGTCTTTCTCAGGGGGCAGCGCTCCTTTGCGCTTCAGAGGAGGTCGCAAGAGGCCCCAAGATGGCCCCAAGAGGCCCCCAGGAGCCTCCCAAGAGGCCTCCAAGAGGCCCCCAAGAGGCCACCAAGAGGCCCCAAGAGGCCCCCAAGAGGTCCCCAAGAGGCCCCCAAGAGGCCCCCAGAGGCCCCACGAGGCCCCCAAGACGCCCCCAAGAGGCCCCCAAGAGGCCCCCAAGACGCCCCAAGAGGCTCCAAGAGGCCCCCAAGAGGCCCCCTGGGGCCGCCAAGAGGCCCCCAAGACGCCCCAAAAGGGGACGAGGTGCCCGAACGCCTCACGCCACGAGGAGCCCGAACGACTCACACCAGGACGAGGGGCCCGAACGACTCACACCACGAAGAGCCCGAACGACTCACACCAGAAGGAGGGGCCCGAACGACTCACACCAGGACGAGGCGCCCGAACGACTCACACCACGAGGAGCCCGAACGACTCACACCACGACGAGGGCCCCGAACGACTCACACCACGAGGAGCCCGAACGAGTCCCACCAGGACGAGGGGCCCGAACAACTCACACCACGAGAAGCCCGAACGACTCACACCAGGACGAAGAGCCCGAACGACTCACACCACGAAGAGCCCGAACGACTCACACCAGGACGAAGGGCCCGAACGACTCACACCACGAGGAGCCCGAACGACTCACACCAAGAGGAGGAGCCCGAACGACTCACACCAGGACGAAGGGCCCGAACAACTCACACCACGAGAAGCCCGAACGACTCGCGCCAGGACGAAGAGCCCGAACGACTCAAACCACGACGAAGAGCCCGAACGACTCACACCAGGAAGAAGGGCCCGAACGACTCACACCAGGACGAGAGGCCCGGAGATATGCGGGGGCAGGCGGAAACACGCCTGAAAAACACGACTGTCAGCATGCTTCGCAAGAGTTGCTGTTTTGAGATGGGCTGGTGGGGATACGCGAAGCGTGAAGAATTGCTCTCGAGGCTCTACTTCTGGCCCTGGCAGCTTTGCTGGAGGCCCTCGTAGCTCGTCTGGTGGCCCTCGAAGCGCGGCAAGTTTTCATCGCAATTCTGCTGGTGGCCCCGGTGGCTCAGTTTGTGGCTCTCGAAGCTCTGCCTGGTGTCTGTTCTGCTCAGCTCGTGGCTCTCGTAGCTTGGCAGCTTGCTTGCGAAGCTCATCTGGTTGCCCTCGAAACTCTGCTCGTTGCCCGTGTAGTTCAGCTTGTGGCCCTCGTAGCTCAGCAGGTGGCCCTCTTAGTTCTGTTCGGGCCTCGCTCTGCTCGTTGCTATCATCGTACTCGTCGTGCCCGTCATCACCCTTCTCGTTGCTCTCGTCGGCGCGTCCCCCTGCTATGGTTCCATGATGCGGCGGCTTCTTGAGGCAGCTACGAGGGGGTGTATCGGCGGGCCTGGTGTAGGGCGGCGTCCACGTCGTCACGTCCTGGCCCGCGTGGTGGCAATAACGTCGTCCCTGCTGGTCGAGGTAGCTGCTCCAGCCAAATGGCAGGAAGGCTGGTGCGGGCAGCTCTCGTAGTTCGACTGGTACCCGTCGTAGCTCAGCCTGTGGGCCTCGAAGCTCTGCCTGTCGTCCTCGTAGCGCGGTGGGTGGCCCTCGCAGCTCTGCTGGTTGCTCTCGTAGCTCTGCTGGTGGCTCTTGGATCTCAGCTGGTTGCCCTTGTAGCTCTGCTGGTGGTTCTCGAAGTTTTGCTTCTTGCCGTCGTAAATACAAATGGTTCCCGTAGTTCTGCTGGTAGCCTTCCTAGCTGCGAGGGTGGCTCTCGTAGCTCGGCTTGAGGCCCTCAGAACTGTGCTGGTAGCTTTCCTCGTAGCTCTGGTAGTGGCCCTCGTACCAGAAGGATGGGCCTCGTAGTTCCGCTGGTGGCCCAACGGCTCTGCCGGTAGTTCTCATAGCTCAGCATGCGGCACACGTAGCCCAGATTCTGGCTCTCGTGGCTCAGGTGGTAGCTCACGCAGCTCAGCAGGTGGCGTTGGCACAACACGTGGAGCTCCATCGACGACGACGCGACCAGCCTGCTGTAACGGTAGCACACCTCCCTCCCACCATCCTGGGCTCGCGTCGCACTCGTTGTCGTTATCGTGCCTGCCGCACTGGTAGCTGTCGTCGAAGACCCCGCACTCGCACTCGCAGCCGTCGCCTTCGCGACCGCAAATGCTTCGGGGCGAAGGGTCGGGGCACCAGTTTCCAACTGGGCCATGCATCGCGAAGTCTCCGCTCGTTGGCCACGGGGCTCGGTGTACGAGAGCCGTGCAGCTCCCCACGTCGATCGTGAGATATTCAGCGCGAGGCTCCACACGGCGACCGCGAGGCCCCGCACGATGATCGCGAGGCTCCGCGCGCAGATCGTGAAGCTCCGTGCGCAGATCATGGCGGCGCGCACAAGGGGGTAGGGAGAGGGGGGAAGGCTTCTTAGGAGGGTGCTTCTTAGAAGGCGCCGGCCTTACATCTGTAGACAAGGCCCGCACCTTCTGAGGAGCAGGGGTGCTTCTAAGAAGGCTTCCCCCCTCCCCCCACCCCCCTCTGCGCGTGGCCGAAGATCATGTGGATCCGCGCGCAGATCGTGCGGATCCGCACGGCGAACGTACGGTTCCACACAACGGTCGTGAGCGCGTGGATCACGGGGGTCAGCAGGTTAATCGCAGCGTTCAATGCACGGGTCGTGAAGTTCCTCGTGTGGATCGTGAGGTCGCACACGACGGTCGCGCTCGGTTCGGTGATCGGGGGCTGCCCTGGACGCCATCTCGAGGGCGGCCGTGGCAATGATAATGATGTCGTCGGGTCGCCGTAGCATCCCATGTCGGACGTTGTGCCCCAACTGTCTTTTTGGCCGCGTCTGCTCGCCGCTGTACTCTTCTACGCGTGTGTGGTCTCGGCGTACTTGCCGGTAGGTCTTTACCAGGGTGGGTCGGTCTCGCGGGCCTTGGCTTCTGTTGGCCTTGAGGTATGTCGCGTCGATCTTGATGATGTTCACGTAAGTCGTGATGCATGTCACGCTGATCGTGGTGATACTCCCATAGATCTTCTTGATCGCAAACGTATCGCACGGCGCGCCGTCCACCACGTGGCGGACAGCCCGCTCGGGCCGCCCCCCCCTCCCGCGGGTGGTGGGGAGCACCCGGGCACAGGGGTCAGGATGGCCCTCCCCTCTTCCTCCTCCCTCCTCCTCCTCCTCCTCCTTCTCCTCCTCCTCCTCCTCCTCCTCCTCCTCCTCCGCATCATCATCACCCTCCTCCTCCTCCTCCTCCTCCTCCTCCTCCTCTTCCTCCTCCTCCTCCTCTTCCTCTTCCTCATCATCACCACCACCACCACCACGATCATCATCATCATCATCATCATCATCATCATCATCATCATCATCATCATCATCATCATCATCATCATCACCACCGCCACCACCACCATCATCATCATCATCATCATCATCATCATCATCATCATCACCACCATCACCATCATCATCATCATCATCATCATCATCATCATCATCACCACCACCACCACCACCACCACCACCACCACCACCACCACCACCACCACATCATCATCATCATCATCATCATCATCATCATCATCATCATCATCATCATCATCATCATCATCATCATCATCATCATCATCATCATCATCATCATCATCATCATCATCATCATCATCATCATCATCATCATCATCATCATCATCATCATCATCATCATCATTATTCATCTCCTCCTCCTCCTCCTCAGTGTCCCTCCTGCTCATCCTTCCTCTTCTCCCCGCAGATCCGATGTTGCGACAAAATGCACAATCGAGAAAAAGCACTACCAGAACCCTAGACCCCATCTCTCTGCGGCATCATATTACTATGTGAGGCCCCTGGCGCCCGAAATCGGGCGACAACGCCCATTCTGGAACAAGTGCTAAGCCAAGATTTCAGGGGCGACGGCGAGGGAGCGAGCGAGCGCGCACCGTTGGTCCGACGGACCAGCCCTGCGAGGGTAGCGCGGGCGGGCCGGGGGGCCCAGAGAGGGGTCAGGCCGCGGCGTCGGCGAAGTTCCCTCCGAGCGGTGGGAGTGGGGAGTCGGATGGTTACACGAGTCGGATGGGGGCCGGAATCGAAAGCATGCAGCCGTAATCTCCGGGACGACGGCGACCGCGGCGGAGGCGAACGCGACGGCGGCGGAGGAGGCGGCGAGGACAGCGAGGACGGGCGACAAGCGACCACGACGACGAGCGACAAGCGACGACGACGAGCGACGACGACGACGACAGACGACGACGACGACGACGAAGACGACGACGATGACATCGAGCGACGACGACGGCGACGGCGACGACCACGACGACCACGACGACGACAAGCGACGACGGCGACGACGACGGGCACAACGACGACGACGAGCGAAAACGACGACTACGACGGGCACGACGACGACGACAACGACGGCGACGACGGCGACGACGAGCGACAACGACGACGGCGACGACGACGACGACGACGAGCGACAACGACGACGAGCGACGACGACGAGCGACGACGAGCGACGACGACGACGACGACGACGACGAGCGACGACGGCGGCGGCAGCGAGGAAGTGCTCGCCCAGCGCCTGGGGCGGCCCGCGGCCGGGGCAGACGGCCGCCGCGGCAGTGAGCAGCGGCCGGCGTCCCGCTGACCTGGCGCTCGCACCGGCGCCTCTCGCCGCTGGCGCCGCTCGCCGCCGCCGTCGCCAGTCGTCGTCGTCGGCGTCGCTCTTCGTCATCGCTCGACGCCGTCGTGGTTGCTCGCCGCTCGTCGCCGCCGTCGTCGTAGCTCGTCGGCGTCGCTCGTCGTCGTGGTCGAGCGTCGCTCGTCGTCGGTGTCGCTGGTCGTTGCCGCCGCCGCTGTCGTCGGTGTCACTCGTCGTCGTCGTCGTCGTCGTCGGGGATCGAGGATCGAGGATCGATCTTGGTGCTCAGTGGATCTTTTTCAGTACGTCGTTCGGCTGTACACTGTCCAGATCAAGGATGGACCATTTTGGGGGGGACGCCTCTGGCCCCCCCTTCTCTTCAGGGCCTCCGGCCTCCTGGGAATTCCCACGGAGGTCCAGCGCGCCTTCCAGGGTGTCCTCTGGAGGGCTCTGGAGGCCTCGGGCAGTCGTCGTCGTCGCCGCCGCCGTCGCTCTGACGGTAAGACGGTGTGTCACACGTGACGGCTTCCTGGGACTGCTCCAGCCGTCGCCGCAATGAGCGCACCCATCGCCGCTCGAGGTGCCACGCGCCAGGGCCTCCCGTCTCCTCCGCGCCAGGGCCTCCAAGAGTGCCGTGCTGGCGCGGTGGCGGGACTTGCCGCAGGCCGCTGGACTTCCAGGGGTGTGAAATTTACGCTGCATATCGCGCACAGTGTAGCAGCAGTGGGTACAGTGTAGCAGCAGTGGGTACACATATCGTGTACAGTGTACAGTGTACTGCGTGTGTGTGTGCGAGCGCAATGTACCTGGAGTAGGCGAGCGCGCTCCACTACTCGCAAAGTGACCGCTCGCAAGTGGTCTGGATCCGCCGCGGGGGTTTTGCGATACATCACGTCGATGCAGACGTGTGCTGTTTTCGGACGCTTGCGAGCAGGCACCTTGCGAGCAGCGGAACGCGCTCTTGGTGAAGGAGAGAGGCTGGCCTCCCGCTGCGCGTCTGGCCCAAACTCTTACCCCAAGGCCACCGAGCTACGGCGAGGGCGCCGGATAAGGAACCAGTGGATCAGGAATTCATGGTCTGGAAGCTGGTGGAACACCAATCGTGGACTGGCCATGGATATGACTGCCGACCTCATCAGATGAGGAATCCTCCAGGGTCTGAAGCCCCCTTGGCACATTCCTTCACGAGCGCGCCCACCGTACTACGCTTGCGGTGCGAAGCCATAACCGAATGGTTTTCTGATGACTGTTATTCCTACTGTGCTTAGTCAAAGACTTGGGGGGCTTTGATCATGTCATGGGAAGGAGGGAGGGGAGGGAGGGAGGAAGCACGGAGGTGCCTGATAGGCACGTCTGAGCAGCCCAGCCCAGCCCAGACCAAGGAGAGGGGGATCAGGAGCAGGGGGAAAAGGGAGGAGAGTGCGAGGAGGGAGGTATGGCGTGGAGGGAAGGTAAGGATTGGCATGCCCGAAGCGGGGACGGCACTACTGAGGGCAATGCCCGACCTCAGCTGGACAGACTACGCCTGCCACATAACGGACAACGGTCACCCCGACGCCGACAGCGAACCCTGTCCAGAATGATCACCTGATTACTGGCGAAAGCTAAAGCCGCATGCAGCTGTGAGTATCGCCGTTGTGGGTATCACCTTCGATGGATTTCCTTACGGGGCCACAAAGCGTGTGAAGGGTGTGCCAACATGGGTGCGGGGCCGCCATGCACACGCTGCCACAGGGGGCCTTCGGTGGAGCTCCTTTTTGGGACCACGAAACGAATGAGGGGTGTGCCGATATGGGCGCGGGGCCGAAACGCGAACGCTGCCACTAAGGTTTTCGGTGGAGCTCCTTATGGGGCCACGAAACGTGCGAGGGGTGTGCAGGAATTCGTGCGGGGCGGCCATGCGAACTCTGCCACTGGGCCCATCGGTGGAGCTCCCTGCGGGGCCACGAAGCGTGTGAGGGGTGGGCCAAAATTGGTGCCGGGGCCGCCACACGAACGCTGCAACTGGGGCCTTGGGTGGAGCTCCCTGCAGACAGCCAGGTAAACTTGGTACGACTTGCCTGGACTGGACGCGTGACAAGAATCAACGCGCGACAAGGGCTTGAACCTCCAAACAAGTGCACGGGCGCGAGCGCGTCGAGGCACGGCCAGGAGCTCCCACGGGCGAGCTGGGGGAGGGGCTGCTGCGCGCATGTGGGCAGGGGCCGTCGACTTTGGGCTCAACGGGCGTCCGACAGCGGCGACGGCGGCGTACCCACAGAGACTTCGACACATGGCCAACAGAGCGAGTGTCATGACCATGGGCCTCTTTGCCGAGGGCCCGATGCCCGATGGAGATGTCCGAAGCGACGAGCATTCCGAGGTGGAGAGCCTCCGAAGAACACGAGGGTACCCCGGGTTCCATAAGAAAGTGGGGGGTGGGTCACAATTGGGGGGGGTCTGATTTGAGCTGTCTTGGAGAGTTCGGGGTATCCGGGCAAAAGGCCGCCCATTCATGGCTGGGTTTGGGGGGGGTCTGAAGCAGCCCGTCTGGCGGGTATCAAACCCCCCCTTTGTTACGGAATTGAGGATGCCCCTCTAAGTCTGGAGTTGTTCAAGCCCCCGTGCCAGCCGCAAGGATGCAGGACCCTTGGCCGTTCACGCTGAATGGTTGAAACAGTTGCAGCGGACGCGGGCCAAAGCACAGGACCGAACAGACGAGGACGCAGGAGCAGCCTTGGTGGGGTTCTGCATTACTGCTGTCGTGGTGTCCACTCTATGCTTAGAACAAGAACACCGAGGGTGAGAAGGCTGCTTAGGGGACACTGCCGAAGCAACGAGGGCATAGTGAGGTTCACCTCGACATGCTGAAAATGCAACATCAGAAATGCAAATGTTGTCTGGGCTCGGCTTGATCGCAAAGGCCGCCTCCACGCAAATCTATGCAGTCCCTGCCGACGGAGCCTCACTCGGTGCAGAGACCTGTGCTAGTAGCCTTAGGTCGGACATGTCCTCCTGCAAGCTGATTTTCAAAGTACGACAAGTTTCCACCAGGCTTGTTTTACTACTCGTGAGTATTCCACCAGATCAGGGACATGCCCGACTCAATAACAGCAAAAAGCTTCAGGCAGACCACCTGTCCCCACGACTCGTGGGCCTGCAGGTGGCAGCAGTCACAAAGGGGCGCCCCAGCACGCAACGACGGTACGGTCCACGCCCTCTGCCCCCGTCGCTCCAAGATCTCCGACGTCGTGCTCTCTTCTGTGCTCGACCCCTTCCCGGTGTCCCGAGGGGCCCGAAACGCATGAAAACCTCGGTCATCGTCAAGACAGCTCGATCCTCGAGCCTGCTCGGGGGCCAGCACACGGACGAACTATTCGAACCCTCGCGCACTCGAGGGGGATGTTCATCATCCCCCCCGCCCCCGAAACCAATGTTGACTTCAGCACGGGTGGTGGTTTGGGGGTTCGAGCACTTCTGTCAGCCCGTGCCCTCTCCACTGCCGCACCCTCGATCTGAAGCCTCGGGGGGTCCGCAGGGGTCTATCTTGCGCAGCAGGACTCGAACTTAAGTTACTGTCCGAGCACGAGGAGGAGGAGGAAAAGGAGGAGGAGGAGGAGGAGGAGGAGGAGGAGGAGGAGGAGGAGGAGGAGGAGGAGGAGGAGGAGGAGGACGACGAGGAGGAGGAGGAGGAGGGGGAGGAGGAGGAGGAGGAGGAGGAGGAGGAGGGCCCGATCCTCGAGGGGAGGGGTGAGCAAGGCCCGCCCCCGGGCCTCCGCCACAGGATGTCTTCCAGCTGCGGGGCCGGCGGGCGTCTCGGCCCCCCCCCCCGGGGGCCCGCTCGGCAGCCCCGGGCCGTTCTTCGGCGGCCCCCGTAGGGGGCCCGAGCGGCCACACAGCAGGAGTGGCCCTGGGCAGGAGGGACCTGTGGTGCGCGACCTTCGGGGGCCGCGGGGAGGCCGAGCTGGAGCGCGCGAGCCGCTGCCGCGCCCACACCGGCACGGTCTCCCTGGCGAAAGGTCGCTCCTACGTGCAGTCGACTCGCAAAAGGAGCCCTCGGGATGCCCGCCCTGATCTGATCAAGACGCCTGTAATGGGCCAATCTTCCACCACCACTACCATAGGTAGGACGGGGGGAAAGGGCTCCTCATCCCTTCCCTCCTCCTTCTCCTCCTCCTCCTACTCCTCCTCCCTATGGTAGCGGTGGTGGAAAACTGGCTCGTCAGCCTGCTCAGCCGCGCCGTTCCGGCGCGCCCTCCTGGGGGGCAGCGGCCGGGGACGCCCCAGGCACGACGGCGCCAGCAGCTCCACCTTCGTGTCCGGGCGGGCGCACCCGTCAGGCGCGCGGCTCTCGGCCTCGGCCTCGTCGGCCTCCTCCTCGACGCCGCCGCTGCTCGGACTCGGGGGGGCGGGCGGCGGGGCGAGGACGGCGGGCATGGGGCAGGGCGGGCGGAGGGGGGGGGGAAGCAACCTGGATCCTCGACTCAGGGCCCTCGAGGAAACGGAGGAGGAGGAGGAGGAAGAGGAGGAGGATAGACAAGCGCGCTCCACGACTGGCGAAGTAACTGCCCGCGAATGGCCTGGATCCGCCATGGGGGATCTGCGATACATGACATCGAGGCAGACATGTGTGTTTCTGACGTTTACGGGTAGGCACTTTGCGAGTAGCGGAACGCGCTCGGTGAGAGGAGGAGTTCGCCCGGGCTCGGTCCCGAAGGGTGCAAGGCGATGCTCGCGGCAGGCCAGGCCAGGTGCCGGGGTCGTCAGCGGAGGCGGGTCAACCAGAGCCCCGAGAGGTCACAGGGGGACAGGGGAAGAGAAAGGGGAGGAGGAGGAGGAGGAGGAGGAGGAGGAGGAGGAGGAGGAGGAGGAGGAGGAGGAGGATAATGAGGATGAGGGAGGGTGAGGAGGAGGAGGAGGAGGGGGAGGATGATGAGGAGGAGGATGAGAAGGAGGAGGAGGAAGAGGGATGATGATGATGCTGCTGCTGATGATGATGATGGTGGTGGTGGTGGTGATGATGCTACTGCTGATGATGATGATGATGATGATGATGACACTGATTTTTTATGACGATGATGATGCTGCTCATGTTGATGCTGATGCTGATGCTGATGCTGATGCTGCTGATGATGCTGCTGATGATGATGCTGATGATGCTGATTAGGATTCTGATTATGATTATGATTATCACTATGATTATGATTATGATTATGATTATGATTATGATGATGATGATGATGATGATGATGATGATGATGATGATGATGATGATGATGATGATGATGATGATGATGATGATGATGATGATGCGGAGGAGGAGGAGGAGAAGGAGGAGGAGGAGGAGCAAGCAGGCAAGCAAACCTCGGCTCGGGGAATCCACCAATGTCCTGCCCTGACTAAGCCACTAAGCTATCGGCTGGATTCTGAGACGGGGCAGAGCCATCCCAACGCGGAGGAAGAAACATGTAGCCCTGTGGCCCCTGCCTGCGCTCCCCTTCGGGGCTCAGGCCGGCGAGCAACCCCCTATAAGGCACGCAACTTTACGGGAGGCGCCCACTCAGGCGCGAGAGCCTCGCCCGCCATCACGCCGCCCACGCCCACCACGTCCGCCTGGCGCGCCACACCCGCAGCCCGGCAGAGCAACCGGCGGAGGAGCAGGCAGAGCCTCGCCAGCGCAGCTGCTCACCAGCGTGGCTCCCGAGCGAGCCCTTGCCGCGGTCTCTGCACGGATGCTGCCACGCGCCTCCAGCTCCGCCAGTCGTTGAGAGCCAGGGCTCGAGCTCAGCAGTGTTTTCCGTTTTCGTTTCTGTTTTCGCCATCCCTAGTTCGCTTCACAATTGCCGCAAAATGAAGTCAAAACGAAAACGTTCCACGAAGTTGCCAAAACGCCGTTTGGCTCGAGCCCTGTTGAGAGCTGCGGGAGAACTGCACCCGCCGCCTGTCCGTGCCTCCTGCACGGCTCGCCAGGGCGGGACGGACTGCTTCGCATATGGCTCGCCATCCTCGCTACCTCGGGAGCCGATCCGTGGACTGCCGTCGCCCCCTCGTGCTCGAGCACCCTCACGATGCACGGCCCGCAGAGGGAGGCCAGCGTCGCGTCCTTGCTGAAAGCGTGTGATGATCAGACGCTGTCGCTCCTGGCCCTCCTCCCTGTGCAGCGCCTTCAGCCTGAAGTAGAGCACCGCTTCCGCGATGCTCCCCATGCTGCTCGAGACTATGTGGGTCTCCCAGTCCTGCTTGGCCTCGAGCGCGTTGGTCTTATCGTCGTCCTGGCCCTCCGCCGCCGTGCGCTCCGCCACGTACTGGAACGCCGCCAGGAAGACGGAGGAGGAGGATGAGGAGGAGGAATGAGGAGGATGAGGAGGATGAGGAGGAGGGGGGGGGCAGGGGACGGGGGAGGAGGATGAGGAGGAGGAGCACGAGGAGGAGGAGGGATACTGCTGTCTCTCCTTTCGGGGGCCTCAGGGAGCACCCTCGTCGCCACGACCGGATTCACCTCAACATCCCTCCTCCTCCTCCTCCTCCTCCTCATTTCCCTCCTCCTTTCCTCAGTTTCCTTTCTCCCGCATCCTGCTCGTCCGTCGTCTCCGACGCCGTCGCCGTCGCCGTCGCCGTCGTCGTCTTCGCCTTCGCCGTCGCCGTCGTCGTCGTCGTCGTCGTCGTCGCCGTTGTCGTCGTCGTCGTCGTCGACGCCCTTTTCTTTCGTTCCTTCGCCGAGCCAGGGTGAGGGGGGCGGCTTCCTCAGCGCGCGGGAGATTATTGGAAGGATGGGCCCCTTGAAGACGGCACTCCGCGCATTGTTCAAAAGGCGACCATACGACGACGAAGACAACGACGACGGCAACAACAACGACGGGCACAACGACGACCACGACGGCCACGACGACGACGGGCACAACGACAACCACGACGGCCACAACGGCCACGACGACGACCACGGGGGCAACGACGACGGCCACGACGACGACGTCCACGCCGACGACAACGACCACGACGACGACGACGACGACGACGACGACGGCGACGACGACGGTAACGACGACGATGATGACGGCAACAACAACAGCAACAACAACAACAATAACGACGGGCACAACGACGACGACCACGACGGCCACGACGACGACCACGACGACCACGACGGACACAGCGACGGCAACGACGACGGCCACGACGACGACGACGACAACGACGACGGCCACGACGACGACGACGGCAACAACGACCACGAAGACGACGACAACGACGACGACGACGACGGCAACGACGACGACGACGACCTGACGACGACGACCATGACGACGACGGTGACGAAGACGACGACGACAACGACGACAACCACGACGACGACGACGACGGCCACGACGACGACGACGGCCGCGACGACGACGACGTCAGCCACGACGACGGCCACGACGACGACGACGACAGCGACGACGACGAAGACGATGACGACAACGATGATCACGCGGGCACAACGACGGCGACGACAACGACGGCTACGACGACGGCGGCCAACGCGACGACGACGACGAGGACAACGACGACGTCCACGCCGACAGCGACGACGACGACGACGGCCGCGACGACGACGGGCACAACGACGACGACCACGACGACGACGACCACGACGATGACGACGACGAGGGCAACGACGACGACGACGACGACGGCCACGACGACGACGACGGCCACGACGGCCACGACGACGACGACGATGGCAACGACGACGACGACGACGGCCACGACGACGACGACGGCCACGACGGCCACGACGACGACAACGACGACGACAACGACGGCCACGACGACGATGGCAACGACGACGACGAAGAGTGCGAGAGCCACGATGGCGACGGCCACGAGGACAACGACGGCCACGACGACGACCACAGGCACAACGACGACGACGACGACCACAACGACGACGGACACAACAACGACGACAACGGCCACGACGACGATGGACACAACGACGACGACGACGGCCACGACATCCACGACGACGATGGCGATGGCAACGACGAGGACGGCGACCACGACGGACACGACGGCAACAACGGCGGGCACAACGACGACGACGACGGCCACGACGCCGGCGTCAACAGCCACGACGACGACGGGCACGACGACGACGACGGCCACGACAACGACGACGGGCACAACGACGACGACAACCACAACGACGACGACGGCAACAACGACGACGGGCACAACGACGACGACGACGTCGGAAACCACGACGACGACGTTCACGACGATGACGACGACCACCACGACGGCCACGACGACGACGACGACGACAGCGACGACGACAACGACGACAGCCACGACGACGACGACAACGACGCCCAATACGACGACGGCGCTCACGACGACAACGAAGACGGCGGCGGCCATGATGACGGCCACGACGACGACGGACACAACGACGACGCCGACGACGGCCACGACGGCCACGACGACGACGCGCAAAACGATGACGACCACGACGACCATGGGCACCACGACGACGACAACGATGACGACGACGACGGCCACGACGACGACGGCCACGACGACGATCACGACGACTGCCATGACGACGACGAAGACGGCGACGGCCACGACGACGGCAACAACGACTATGCGGGCACAACGACGACGACGGCTACGACGAAAACGTCCACGACGACGACGACAACAGCCACAACGACGACGGGTACAATGACGACGACGACGGCCACGACGACGACGGCCACGACGACGACGACGACGGCCACGACGACGACGACGACGATGACGGCCACGACGGCGACGACGGCGACGACGTCCGGCGGCGGCAACCGCGGGGCTGGTCGGCGGGGGGCCTGGCGCCGCGCGGCGGAGACCGCGGGCCTGCAACGTGGTGCCACCCGGCCGGCGGGAACCATGCGGGTGCCGCTTGGGGCCTCCGCCTGTCGGAGGGGCACGACGACGGCCACGACGACGATGGACACGACGACGGCCACGACGACGACGGCCACGACGACGGCGACGGCGACGACGACGACGACGACGATGGCCACGACGACGACGGCCATGACGAGGACGACGACGACGACAACGACGACGACGGCAACGACGACAACGGCAACGACGAAGACGACGACGACGACGACGACGACGACGACGACGACGACGACGACGACGACGACGACGACGACGACGACGACGACGACGACGACGACGGGGGGAAGCAAGACAGCCAACGTTTGTGATCGCCACCGCCATCATCACCATTAGCATCATGACATCTACCGCCCTCCTTATCATTACGAGTGCCAGCCCATCATTGGCGAGGCCATTATCATGGCCCGTCGGGTCAGACTCGTCACCATCACCACCACCAAACGAAACACCACCATCATCAACATCGCCATCATCATCATCAACATCATCATCATCATCGACATCACCAGCATCACCACCACCGTTTGCACCATCATCACCAAACAGCACCATCATCACAATCACCCCGTTACCCCATCATCTCATCGTTCTAATCGTCGAAACGCTTGACCCCCCCCCACCACACACACACGCGCACATGTTTTGCTTCGCGGCTGGCGGGTTCAGCACGGCGAAAACATTAATGGCATACGCTAGGCTGATTTAGTGCCGAACGCATACCGATGGGAAGCCAACCGACACGCGCGTCACGGACGCAGAGAAAAAAAAGCCGCAGCCGTGCACGTGCCTTCCTCCCCCCGCGCACACACAAGCAGAAACGCGCGCACACACACACGCACACATACACACACACACACACACACACACACGCGCACACACAGACACACACACACATACACACAGTGTACATTCCCTCTTCATATACTTCAATTGAGCGGAGCCCTGCGACCCCCCCCTAAACGGGACCCCCCCCCGATCCCTTGCCTCGGTGGCCTGCTGGGCGCTCCTTGCCAGGGTCGCCCCGGACTTCTGGGCCTTCACAGACCCCTTCCAAACCTGTGAAAACCAACCCACCGGCGGTGCCAAGAGGCCCCCAGGACGGTCCAAGAGGGCGCTGAGACGTCCCAGAGCGCCCCAAGAGGGACCTACATGGCCGCAACACGGCCTAGGAAGAGACCCCGAGACGCCCCAGGAAGGCTTCAAAAGCACCTCCCAATAGTCGAGATCGCCCCATTCACTGGAATCGACAGGTGGGCAACCAGGCGGCTCCTCGAAGGCGGGGAGCTGGCGGCCGACGCCGCGGGGGCCCTCCGCGCCGTGCTCACTGGAAACGTCGTCACGGAGGCGGTGGCGGCGAAATGGGGGCGCCCTGCGGCATGCCCGCACTGCGGCGCGGCGTGCGACGACTTCGAGCACCGCTTCTGGGCTTGTCCCTTCTGGGAACCCGCGCGCGCCGCCGCGCTGGTCCCCGAGGGCTTTACCCGCGCCGAGGCGCGCGCGCGGCTGCCGGCCCGGACGTCGCTCACCGGGGCGTTGCCCCAGCACTCGCAGCTGGCTGCGCTGGCGGACCAGGCGCACTGGCCGCTGCCGCGCCCAGCCCTGCAGGCCCGCGCTGCTGAGCCACCCCGGGCGCGCGCTTGGACGGACGGTGGCTGCGTGCACCCCACCGACCCCCTCCTCGCTAGGGCAGGGTGGGGGGTGGTGCTGGACCAGGGCGCTGGCCGTCAGGAGCACCGCGGGCCTGTCGACGGCACGCAGACCGCGCAGCGCGCCGAGCTCACGGCAGCGGTGCAGGCCGTCAGCCTGGCAGGCGGTGCCGTCGAGATAATGACCGATTCTCGCTTCGTCAGCAACGGCGTCGCGGCGATCAAGGCCGGGGCGCCCACCGAGGATTGAGCCCACGCAGACCTGTGGGAGTTGATCGTTCCTCACTGCCGCAGCGACGCGCTAGCCGCGCGATGGATTAGGGGGCACCTTGGCGCCGCGGAGGCCCAGGCACGAGGTGCGTCGCCAGAGGGCCGCTCTGGCAACGCCGCGGCCGACCGCCTCGCCGGGGTGGCAGCCGAGGCCCGGCTGCCTCCGCTGGCGCTGCGCCAGGAGCGCGAGCTGCAGCTGATCGCGCTCGTGGCCGTGCAGCGCGTTCTCGCCGCGGTGGGGCTCGCGGCGCTCAAGGCCAACCACGGGCGCGGCCCTGGAGGCCCGCGCGTGCGGCGGCGCTGGGCGCAGGCGGGGCATCGCCGCCGCCGCGTGCCCCGCGCGGCGGACGACGCTGCGGTTGCGGCCGCGGTGGCCCCAGAGGCGGAGCAGGGACAGGCGCGCGCGGCGCCAGGCCCAGGGGCGGCCACCGCGGCGAGGGCGCCGTTCGCCTGCAGCGCTTGGCGGGGGCACGTCGCCTCCCAAGGGCCCGCTTGGGTGGCCCGCATGGCGCGCGGGCGCTGGGCCCCGCGCTGGGAGCGCCTCGCGGGCCGCCCGCGCAGCGGGCGGGCGCCGCGCCTGCTCCCGCGGGCGGCCGGCCTGCTGCTCCTGGATGCCCCGCGCGCCGGGGGCCGCGAGGCGGCGTGTGGCGGGCGGCTGTGCGGCGGCGCCTGCTGGAGCGCCTGGGCGCGCCAGACTAATTAATTAATTAGTTGCGCGACGGCCGCTTTGGGCTGCCGCTGGCCCCTCGCGCTCGCCGGGGCGCGCTGCTGTGCTTTCTTGTTTCCCCGCCTCCTCCTCCTCCTCCTCCTCCTCCTCCCCCTCCTCCTCCCCCCTCCTCGTTTCCGGCTTCTCTGCGCACTGTTGTCACCCGTTCTCGCCGCTGGGCCCCTGCGGATGGTAAAAAAGTGTTGCATGCGCGCTGCGCTAATCTTAGCCGCATCCAAAACCGCCCGAGAAGTCCCCGACATCGCCCTACGACGGCCCGCCCCCATATGGCCCAGGAGGGACCTGAGACTGCCCGGGAGAGGCCGCAGCGCACGGAGCTCGACGAGCCAAGGCGCACGGGGCGAAGCGCCAATGCAGTCTTGAGAATGGAATGTCTCGTTCTCTATTGCCACAACAGCTGGATCCAAAACGGTAGCTGTCGGGCATGCAAGCGCACCCACGCGACGCGAATTCGCCTCGAACCTCTCTGGGGCCGGGACAGGCGCAAGCCTCATCGAATGACTCGCACGCCCCCTCAGAAGTCACAGTCCACGTGGGGCACCGCGCCACGGCTAAAGCTGAGGCCCCCCGCTGCGACCACTTGTCATCTGTAGATCACCGCGTCGGCATTGGGCCCAGCTCCGTTCAACCGCGACTGCGGAAGGAATCTCTGGAGAGCGCGTCGCCCGGACCTGCAGGGACATGGCCTTCGGGCGGCGCTCGAACGCGGTCCTGCCCACGCCCTTGATCATAATATCAAGCGGGTTGACCTCCCCCAGCGCCTTCTTCAGCTCGTCAATCTTCTGGCTGAAAATGGCCGCCTGCAGGGTCCGCCAGCGCCCGACCTCGAGATGCCAGATCTTCCCGTTCCCGCGCCGCTGGCAAATGCCCATCGCAGCGCTCGAGTCAGTCCCAACCTCGAGCTGGAGGTCAGCATGCAACCCGAGGCCCAGATCTGTCGCTAGGAACTTCGCACCAAGGGCCCGGCTGCTTGCCTTCGTCACAACGTATGTCTCCGCCTCAGGCTGACCGGTACCTGCGCGCTGGAACTTCAGTGTCACGGCGCGCGCCGAACATCGCCACTGTCCCCGATGTCGACCTTCGCAACAACGGGTATCCCGCCCAGTCCGCGTCGCTCAGGGTCGCGATGGTTCTCGGGTATCTCTGGCGCCTCCAAACCCAGGTCAAGGTCGGCGCGTGGATCGGGCAGCGCACGCGCCTCTCCGGCATCTTCTGGCGTCGCGCAGTTGGTCTCGCCATCCCGCGAGCCGCCTCCTTCGCCGCGAACTGGATGTCTGGCCGGTCCAAAGCCAGGGGGCCCAGCCTCATCGCGGCACTCCCGAAGACGCCCGCGTCGGATTCACTCAGCAACTGCTCGGTCTCGGGGTAGACAGGGACCTTCTCCGCCGGGGCGGCCGCTCAAGTGATCCGCTCATCGAAGCCAAGTTGCAGGTGTTGGACCTCTCGATGTCTCGGGCCCGCCTCCTACTCAATACGCTCTGGGCCACCGCCCCTGGCAGCAACCCGGCGCGTCGTGCGGTTCAGGATAGTCCTTGACTTCCTGTCCCTGTGCCTGGGGCCCATCACCCCGCGGCCCTTCGCTATGAACGCGTTGCCGATCTGGCCCTTCATCCACCTGCACTTCCGCCTCGGCCCGTCAGGGCGAAGTCGCCCACGCGGCGTAGGAATCGTAGGCAGCGAGACCCCAGCGACAAGACACAGGGATGGTGAACGCCGCGCCTGGCTCCAACTTCCCCGCTCGCGCCCTGGACCTTCAGCTCGAAATTATGGCCGGCATTGCGCGCTCCGTGCAAGCGGCGCTTCAGCCGCCCAACTTTGCCCGCGGCGTGCTCGGGGTGCCCCGCCGGAATCTCAGCGCGCAGCTCCCTCTTCGCCCGCGCGCCCGGCTGATGTCGAGGAACGCGGGCGCGACGTCGATTCCAAGGTCCTGCTCCAGAACCATGGTCCCCGACGTCATGGCCATCGACGCGAGCGCTCGAACAGTCTCCAGGGCCGGCGTAGCACTGGAGGCCGCGCCCTTGTCCTGGGCGTCGATGGCACTCCGCCTCTTCGTCTCCATCGCCGCGAGACGGGATCGGTATCCCCTGTAGTCGCCCGACCCCTAGTTCGCATCCGCCCGGCGCGCGGGAATAGGCGGCCCCCCGCCCATGCGATCCACGGCGAAGTCCCTGTCGACGAGCTCCCAGATGTCCAGGTCGCCCACCAAGCACTGCGCCCCCTCCTCCATCGCGTGCCTCACCAGGACCCGGCCCAGCGAGTCCAGCGACACTCCTGACGCGTCGTCGAAGAACTCCGACTGGGGGGGCTCGGCCAACCGGCTCTCGGCGACCACTGGCACCCCGTAGTCGATGGTGTCCTCGGGCCCTGCCTCCACGAGCGTCGGACTGGCGCCCAGTGCGCCCGCGAAATCGCCTCCGCCAAGGCCGCGTCGAAGTGCACATCGGAATCCTCGGGGGATCGCGTGGGTCAGGGTCACTGGGCACCTCTCGAGAGGCACCCCCGTCTAGGCTGTCGGCATGGGAACATGCCCCGCCCGGGGTGTCAGCAGTGGCGCGCGCGGGGCGCGCGTCGGTCGGGGCAGCCCACCACGACCTCATCCAGGATGTCCAGCGAGTTGCTGCGCCACCCCGCCAGCATCATCACCAATGCCATCTCGCCACTAGGTCCTCGGACCTTCTGGCCAAAGGTTTTTGCCAAGCAGAGCCGCCCCATGGAGCCGCAACCAGCGATCGAACTTGTAAAATTTACAGCATGTTGCTCTCTCCAGCAGGGCCGCGGGGAAGAATCGTGGAACGCCCGCGCGTCATTGCATGGCCACGCGCCTCCTGCCCCCGCCATTGAATCCCGCCACGCGCGCTGTGGAGGCGCGACCAACGCGGCCCCCGAGCCAGGCCGCCGCGTGACCGCCGTGGAACTCATCGCCGCGATGACGTTTCGTTCCGCGGCCGCTGGGCACATCGCCCGCACGAGCCTCGAAGCGCGCAGCCGTCGAAGCGCAGACGGAATCGGCGCGCGCGGCCGTCGAAGCGCCGGGCGCCGTCCCGGCCGCGCGGCCGATAGCTTGCGCGGGAGGAACACCTCTCGAGCTGATTCACGACGGTACGCGCCGGCGACACATGAAGAAGAAACGCTCGATCGCGAGCGCTGCGCGGGGAAGTGGCGGGACGCCGGAGGCCGTTGGATCTCGCGCCCGCGCAAATCGAGCAAACTCCGCTCCTGGGGAGTGGCGCTCGTGGAGCCCACCGCGGGCGCGGGGGCCGCTGGCACAGACTCCGCCGCGCCCGCTGCGAGGGCCCGCCGCGCCCCCTCGGGGGCCACGGCGCGCGGCTGCGCTCGTGGCGGAGAAGAGGGGCCCGACGGCAAACGTCGGCTTCGATGCCTCAGCGACCGCGGGCGCGGCGGCGCAATCGCGCGCCCGCCGCGCGAGGCGGCGCAGCCCGCCGCGAGGGCACCCTCTCCGAACGAGCGGGGGTCCCCGGGAAACCTCCCCGACCCCCCCGCCGCCTTTCCGCGGCGCCCTGGCCGGTGGCGCCCGACGCTGCCGCGGGGGGCCCCTGCCCGCCAGCCCCCCTCCTCCTCTTCCTCCGCCTCCCTCCCCCCCTCGCCCCGGAGAGAGCGCACCGCCGCGCGGGGGCCTGCGTGGCCCGCCGGCGTCCTCCTCGCCCTCGGCGGGCCGCGCGCCGCGGCCGCTGCCGCCCGCCGCCTCCGGCGGCGGGGCGGGCGAGGCCGCGGCGGCATCGGAC